GTACACATCCACTGTTACAAAGTCAAAGCACTTGTTTGCAACTTCTGAAGCAAACTTCAAAATAAGTAGAACAGAATACCTGTGTTAACTTTCTTATTAAACTTGATGGCAGTAAATTGTATTACATACCAGGGAAGTCCATAATTAATATTTTACTATCTCATTTTTTTCAATTTAAACACCAATCTTTATTCTTTCTACAATATATCTACCTCCTCCTCTGAACATCACTTTACTTTCAGTTATATTGCTTTTAATGTTGAAAGTGGTCTTTTCTGCTGAATTTATCACATTTTTCTTCTCTTTCTTTCCAAAATATTTTTAACAAAGCCATTCTTCAACTATCCTAACATTGCATTCTTGGTATTTCTACTGCTATCTAACCATTTCTCAGTATTTAGCAAACGATCTTGGAATCTTCTCTTCCAATCATATCTTATACAGACTTCACAAACTCTCAACAGGGGAAGTGTCACCAGCTGAAAGAACGAATTATATCTGAGAGAAAGTATAAACTCTGTTTTCCTCACTTATACTCTGATAAAGTATAATTATAAAGGTATAAAGGTAATTAGTGTCCTATGCAATTCACTGTGAGATAAGTTAGAAGACATAGTCTACTTTCCAGTGCATTATTTTTGTTAAATAAAATTTTATATTTCATTTAATGTTTCACATCTTTCAAAAATGATCTAGCTAGATAAAATTAAATATAGCATACCCTTTAATGCATGTTTTCAATGAACTATAACCATTCCTTTTATTTTTAAAAATGAAGCATCTTTACAGCTGAACCTTCAGAAGAAATGCCAAATTAATAAAAGCTATTTTTATTTAACACATAAAGAGCTAGTTGAATGATCTGCTATTTTAAGACAGCACGTTCAGCACATTTTCAAATTCAAAAATAACATCCATTTTCTAAAATATAATTATGAATGCTGGATTAGACATCCTTATTGCAGACCAACAACTTTACACAATGTACAACTCTCAATTGATTTAGTCAACATGGCCTACAAGCTTTGGGATGATTAAGCAAAGTTTAGTGACTTTTCATCACTTACCCAACATTTGGTAAACCAACAATGCCAATTTTCAAGGATGTCCCAAATCTTCCAATGATTGGGTGCGGTTTAATTCCATCACCTCCCTTTTTGGGGGGCATCTGAAATTAGAAATAAAGACCCCATGAAAGCCTAACATCCCAAGCTCCTTTTCCTACACCCTAGCAACGCCATTTCTAACAAATAAGAGAAATGCAAATGTGCATTTTACTGATTACTGTATGTCAAATACCTTCTTGGGAGCCATAAGAGCCCAACATGGCAAGGCTTTGGGGATGCCCAAGAGACAGGAATAGAGGCAGTAGCCAGGCAGCAGCCAGGCATACCATTGTACATGGCACCCTTCTCGGGCCACAGTTCTGGGAGCTGAATCTGATTCTGCAAAGCTCCTGGAAAGGCTGAGCTTAAAATAACCATCTCAGTGTCCAAGAAGGGATTGAAATTCAGCACCGCCAATTTCTCCTGACGTTTTCTGTTCTGAGTGGCAGCTGCGGAGACTTCCCAGCTAGTCAAACGAGCAGGCGGGAGGACTCCACAGAGCAGCATTCAAACTCCTCCCTCGGGATGCATTGGGAACTTGTCTCCCAACTGAAGGGGAGGCTACCCCAAAACACAGGAAAGCCCCAGCTGCCTCCCTATACATCGCGCTTCAAACAAGAGGGTGGCTGGCTAGCTGGCCGCTGCTTGCCACCTCCGCCTTAAGCGTCTTCCTCGTCCGGCAGGCAATTTCTCTTCTAAAGCGACAAGTAGACGGTCTTTCCGACTCATCAAAAGCAGCGAGCCAGAGGTCGTCGGCATTCCTTCCAAAGAGCTTCACAAACCCAGGATAAGGCACCTTCATTCATCCGGGCACCCACAACACTTGCGTGTGGCATCGACCGGCGGTTCGGTGCGCCCCACATCGCCCCTCCTCGTTGCCTGCACGAACCAACCACTTTGAAGAGTCCCGCTTGGGCTCCCAACTGCACCGAAAGCGAGAGAGCGAGCGAGCTAGCAGAGCCGCAACCTCGGTCCCCGCCTCCTCTGACAGACGGGCAGGCCGGCAGGCAGGCCTCTGCCCGGACCCTCCTTTCCACCTCCCCGCGTGGCAGGAGCTCCTCGCCTCCTTT